ATAAAAAAGTGTGGCTCTGACAACACAGAAGCACATGAAGCCAGATGGAAATCGTGACGAGGGAACCTTGACCAAGGGAACCGAAGGAGTTATGGTCACGTTTCAGAACATCTGAAGTGAATCACAGCCCAAATAGAGAACAACGTGTTCCTTTATTCTTTAGGCAAAACCTCGAACCAATCAGATGGTGAGAGGTAGTTGTTGTAGCTCTGCACTAAAACTAGAAACCCTGGGAGAAACCTCCATTACCTCAGTGTATGTGTGAATGGGAGGTGTGTGTGTGTGTTATGAATACATGTAGCTGAGGGGGAGAAGGAGGAGCGGACAGAGTTAGATGCCAAAGTTTGGAGTGGAAAAGTACAGCCGTTTGTTCCACTGGTATAAACTTCCCTTTGGTTGCACAGCCCAGCCAATCAGAAAAACAGCCCAACCAAAACAAATCAACAGTAACTCTCCAGATCTGCTCCCATTTGTAATAAGATTTATTACCCATTATCACAGATTCCATCCAACATGCAGCTTCCAGCTTGTGTTTCCTTATCCAACCCGTTTTGTTGTCTGAAGAATTCAACATTAAAGCTGCAGTTGTAACTTTTATAAAAAATGTTTTTTAACATATTTGTTGTAAGACAGATAATCGGTTAAAAATATAAACTTCTCTGCTTTCTCCCAGTGCTAACTAGGAACAACCAATCAGAACCAGGAGGCGGGTCTTAGCGCTGTTAATCATTCCCATGCACGTGCTATAGCTTCTCCCTGCAGCATAGTCTGTCGTGGATGCTAGTCGGATAAATGGTTCTTCTGTAATGGTGGTTTCTTTCTCCGCCATTAGCACATTCAGTAGCTAGTTTTCTATTAGCTAACTTGTTGCTAATGTCCAATTAGCTGCTAAATGGTTTCTCCGTTTCCTGGAAAGAGGAAGTCTGGAGATGTGACCCCGGGTCCCTGCATATGTGTGAAGACGTCAGGGTCAAGAGGTCAGGAAGAAGTTGCACTGAGGTGTTAGGTTGGGCAATAAAACAGGAATGTGTGAAAAAACCTGTCCAGCTCATTTGTTTTGTTATCCTGACTGAACATCCCTACTCTTTAACTTTTGATTTTGGTCCCTCATGTTTTCTTCGTTTATACTCATGAAACATGTTACGTCTAAAAAGGAATTAGTTTTGAACATAATTGATCCCATACTTAGCAGAAAAGCTATTTTGGGTCATGATAAAGACTCTTACTGTGGAGAAAATATCAGATTTTGGGCAATAATTTCACACACATTCCTCAGATCTGGGATCTTCTCTGGACACGTTGTTCTTCGGTTGTTGATTGGATTTAAGTGTGGCAATTAACTGGACCATCAAGCAGCTATATTTTCTTTCTTTAAAACAAAGTGCTGTTGTTTGTGATCAGGTGATCTCGTAACCCCATTTTATCTTCAGATTCTTCTCAAAGGGGCAGGATTATGTGTTTTCCAGCCACGTAGTACCATTTTATAGCACAATTAACTATGCTAACTTCTGTTGTTATAAATATGATATACATATTAAGTGTGACTTAAAATAAATTTTACCTTGTAATTTGACACCTTGAAATTGGGCTTCTGTCTCTTTAAAAACTCCTGCTCTTTCTGATACTCTGCTTTAGGAAGTCCTCACAACATGGCTCCTCTATTAACCTTTTAACAACGTTTTTTTTTTTTTACCAGCATTGCACTGAAAAGAATATTGTATGAGCTCAGTAGATGTTGCACCAGGTGTTGCTAATTACTGCTGGCTAGTCTGAAGGAGCTGAGTGGGAGAGCAGCTGTGCCTTGAAGGCGAAACTAGGGGCACCAAGAAGGTTTGGACAATTGAATGGTTGCCATGGAGATTAAAGGATTTCTCACACATGCATGACATAATCAAAGCAGCACTCCAAGTATGTTCTTGATGAGGGAATAATATCATAATATGATGTTAAGGTAAAAAATTTCACACAAGGCTGCCCCTTTAAATAATGTCTCATAGTAATGCTTCTCAATTTATTCTTCTATTATATAAAGTCTGAGAGTCCCAAAGCAGAAAAATGTTCCCAAATCATGACACTACCACCAGCAGCAGTAGCACAAACAATTGAGCCAAGGGAGGATGGGACCATGCTTTAATATTGTTTCCACCAAGTTCAGTTGTGGCTGAAACTGTGGGATCAGTTTTTCCAGTCTGTAATTGTCCAGTTTGACCCTCCTGCTGTCACCTGACAGAATGAAGGTTGATGGTGGTTTTCTGCTGCTGTAACAACACAACGATTAGAACAAAACAACCCAGAATAATCCAAATGCAAAACCAAGTGACAACCAAAATACAAAGAGCCTGGTTTAAATAGCAGCTGTTGTAACACATGACTAAACACAACATTTAGTTTCTGATCCGTGGATAAAATGTTGGTAGATTGATTCCACTGGTGTCAGTAGTATCACCAACTGCTCCTGTGGAGTTGTGGGCTCTGAATCAGACCTCCTGACACCCTCAGGTCTCTGTAAACAGGCCCTCAGAGAGGTAGGTACTCCCACAGAGCAGCGAGTGGAGGAGGGGCTCTGTTGTTATTCTGGTAGCATGAGCTCAAAGCTGCTCTTCAGCAGGCTGCTGAATGTTTCACAGAGCTGACAATCCTCTTCAGGCCAGAGTGGGCCTTCAGGCACTTCCCAGGACACCACAACCTAAAGCACCTCTTCACACTTCTGTTTAATTTATTCAGGCACTTCCCATGACACCAGAGTTATCCTAAAGCTCACCAGGACACAACAGTTAGGGTATAGTTTACCAGAACACCAAGAATATCCTAAAGCTCACCAGGACACAACAGTTAGCCTAAAGCTCATTAGGATTCCACAACTACCCCACAGTTAGCCTTAAGGCTTCTCAGGACACCATAATTGGCATTAAGATTTGGCTTAAAGGGTTCCCAGTAAGTCATACCTAGTCTAAAACTTCCCAGGTCACCAGATTTAGCCTAAAGCTTCCCAGGACACCACAGTTAGCTTACAACTTCCCAGGGCCATAAAACACATTTTCACTGCTCTGTCTCTTGATTCAGGTGTTACAGACTTTATTTCTGCATGTAAGGCAGAAACCGAACCAGCACAAACGCGCTGGAAACGGATTGAATCACTGACTCAGATTCATGATAGCATGACAGGAAGAGACACAGTCCATCTCTGAGTCGCATCACGTAACAGTAAGAACCCCATGAGCTGATTGGTTAGCTGTTGTTATTTTATCTATTTGCTAAATAAATCCTGGTATGTGAATGTGGCTTCCTTTAGCTGCTGAAGGAAACAGCTCCTCCTGTTGGCCAAAGACTGACAGAAACGTTAGTCTTCAGCAAACTGGGCTCAAACTATGTCCAGAGGATGACATTATTGTTGTATAAAGAAGTAGAGAAGCAGAGTTTAAAACTCTGAATAGTAGTGTTTTTATTTTTCTTCACATCCTGAAATTGCTCTTTGTTTCACTCCAAGCTTGTGAGTTTGATCTTTGACCTTGCTTTTGTTGCAGAGGGCATGTTGCTTTATTACCTTCAACTTTGAAGGGTTTCTAATATCGAGATGTTATCCAAGAAATCCCCAAACCCAGAACCAGAGGTCCAGAACCAGAACTAGGCCATCTTTCTACTGGAGCAGGTCCTGATGCTCCCGGAAGGAAGAGCAGCCGTAGGGAAGACAAGTCTGGCACAGCACAGGAGGACTCTGATTGGCTGGCCGCTCACACAGCCCCGCCCACTGAGGTCCCACCTACTCCCAACTGAAATTTCGCTGTTGAGGGTTGGAGAATGTGGGGAAGTAACCTTCATTAAAAAAACAACTAATTTGATTATTTTGATCCTAAACGATTTAAAGGAGCTACTGTCACTTCCTTCAAAAGAATGTCTTCAAGACTCACCTCAGAAGAAAAGAACTGCTCCATCTGATTTATTACTGAGTCACTGCCAGTCTGAACTCATTCAGCTCTTAGAGCCTCTACTTTCTCTAAAACTGCACAAAATGTTGGTAAAACAAGACAAACTGGCTTCTCCTAAAGTTTATTGACCTGGAAGAACTGCGATAGTGAACTAATTTATCATCTGAACGTTAAAATGCTTTGCTTAATTAAAAAGTTTACATATGAAAATTTACAAAAATCTGCTTCAAAAAAACAGAAAGAAAATGGGGGGAGCGCTGCTGTTGTGTCAGAACCTCTGCTGAGTGGAGGACTTAGAAAAAGATTCGGATCCAAACTGTGATCCGGTTCAATTTAAATCCTGTGCGTCAGTTTCCAAGTAAAAACATTTTTCTGTTTGTTTTCAACTTCGAGATGAATTTCCGCACAGATGGGAGAGGAGATAGAGAGAAATGCTTGGCGCCCTCTTCTGGTCAGTTTGGGTGTTGAAAATGCAGCTGACTGCAGAACCAGATGGGTCACAGTTAAAATGAGCGGAAATAAGATTCAAAAGCTACAAACTGTCTGAACGATTAGACAAACTATATTATAAATATAATGTGTAAGTTTTTAAAAATGTTTTTAATATTTTTTTATGATACATTTAGATTCCTAAAGTTTATAACTTCAATCTAAACTGGTGGACAAAATATTTTTTTTGATGAGTTTCACTTCATTTATATCATTTTCACCTAAATTTATTTATAGCTTTGTTAAAATAAAACTGAATAAACAGAAACCAAACAAAACCTTTTCAAATCAAATTTTAACTTCTGTTCTCCTTCATAATGATGCTGTACTGTTAAATGAGCTGCTGTATTTAATGTTAATAAAACACAATAAACTTTTTTCTTGTAATGTGAGGAATTGCAGGAGTATGAACTTTTGGCAATCAGAAAAATAAAAATAACATCTAACTTTGGATCTGTGTTTTCTTCTGTGGAAAGACTACATTAATAAATGCCTGAAAAAGACTGATTTTACATCTAAATCTGATACATTTTTTCTGTAAACTTCAAATTATGTAGCAAAAATATTAGGTACTCCAGCTATTGATTACAAGTCTATTGCGATATATATTGTTATTGATTTATTGTCCAGCACCAGCTCAGGGCAAAATATTTAACCAGGAATTTACAACAGTGTGATTTTATTTCAACAGTAGCTGGGTTTACGGAGCGCCGCTGGGTGACGTCTGAGCAGGCGCGTCGCTTTGGGGTCAGAAACACAGAAGTCTGAGGTCACATTTAATTAGTAGCATGAACGACCATGCAGAAAAAAAATGATAACTGAAATCTGTAACACTGTGACCGGCCCTGAATCGTTCATTCTGCTGGTGTCTAAAAACAGTTCAGATGAACAAAGGTCGAGTCTCTCCTCCCCCAGCGACCTGCCAGCTGACCCCACATGACCCCAGAGCTGCTGAACACTGCAGCCGCCTTCAGAACGAGAAAAATAATGATGATTATATTTGTCTGAATGTCAAAGGTCAGGTTGTACCTCCGTCTCTAGATGGACACAGAGACGTCGGTAGCTGGACTGGAACCAGAACCAGCAGCCAGAGCTCAGTGACGAGCTGCTGATGACGGAAACAGGAGGAAATGAAGACCAGATCAGTCTTTTGTTTCACTTCTCCTGCTCCTCTTCCTCTCTCCTTCTTCTCTCCTCCTCCTCCTGCAGCTCCTGCTGCTCCTTGGCATCCGCCTCCCTCAGCTTGTCCTCCACATCCTCAGGGATGTCCACCTCCATCAGGTTCTCCATGCCGAGCTGCGGCTCGTCTCCGATCAGCACCTGGAAGGACAGAGACGTAAGACTGGACTAGAGGATCCTCCAGACCAGCAGCCGCTCCGGACCAGCAGCTCCTACAGACTAGCGGCTGCTCAGACCCCAGCAGGTCCGAGTTTCTTACCTGGACCAGTTTCTCGCAGGCGGCGCCGACGTGGACGTCCTTCTCCCAGCGGTGGAGCTCCCTCACAATGGGATAAACGTTCTTCTGTCGGAGCGTCAGGCGGCCGGCTTTAGTCGCCGTCAGCTGGGGGTGGAGCGGACCGTCAGGAAATCTGAATGAAACCAGATCTGTGTGTGTGTGTGTGTGTGTGTGTGTGTGTATACGGTACCAGTAGCAGGGTTTCCAGCAACATCTTTCTGATGTCGGGGTCCGCTTCTCGCTGCTTGTCCTCCGGCAGATACTGCAGGTCCACAGGCAGACCTGAGCAACAAAACTAAGGATTATAATCTGTCCAGATTATTCTAATGATGCATTTCCTGAGCGTTTAATTTAATGGCGGCAAGTCATTTTGATTTTTCACCAGTTTCAGCAAAATGCGTTTAGTTTTGGCTATAAACCTAATCAGGGTCAAAAGTTCCTGAACCCTGGTCTGGACTGGAAAAGCTAAACACTCAGACAGACATGAATTCACCAGTTTAATAACTGGAAGAGGAGAAACACTGAAACAGAACAAAAGTGCATTCGTCAATAAATTAAAAATATCAATGAGAACATGCTTTATGTCAGTTAATTTAATTAACTTTGGCCAATAAAAAATTATAAAAAAAACCTCAAACTTTTTCAGAACATTTGAACAGATGTTAAACAGAAATGTTACAGAACCCAAAGATCACTGCTAGAGAAGCTGGCTGTTATTGGAATGTTGAGTGGAAGGAAAAAGTCTGAAAGCAACAGGAAAAAGCAGCGTTATGTAGGGACTGTAAAGGACAGTTGATCCAGCAGTAGGCCTGTTGCAATAACGATTAAACTGAAACTAATAAATTGGATGTTTTATCGTTCTTCTCTTTTCTATCTTTCTACCAAAACCAGGACGACTTAAGTGTTCAGTCTGGTGATTTGGTCTCAACTAAATCATTGTTTTGAAGGACGGTTTTGTTTTCACAGACTTGAGAAGTAATTTTATTTTCTGTTTCTGCTGTTTTGTTTATTTATTTTGGATATTTAAAATGTCTTCCAGTTCCACTGTTAAATGTTCAGCAGAATTTAAAGTTTATTAATCTGTGAGAATGTGTTCCTGCATTATTATACCGTTACTGATATATTGCTTGAAAATGGATAAAAGTGTATAACTTCTGCTTGGTTAAGGCCACAACCTCCCAATATTGCACAGTGGCGAGATAGGATTAAAAAAGTCTATATAATGGAAAAAACAACATCAAGATTACAACTTAAGATGGAGACCTTTGAAACAAGATGGAGACCTATAACTAAATTCATAATGTAACCTTGACACCTCTATTTATCTTTTTTTTTTTTTGTTTTTGTCTTGTTCGTGTACTTTTCAAATTTAGTTTGTATTATCACTATTATGTACCTTCATTACTTGAGTTTGTATTCTCTGTATATGTTGATGTAAAACAGTTATTGAAAATAAAAAGTTCAAAAAAAAAAAAAGAAAATGGCCTCAAAACAACAATATTATTAATAGAAATAATTACTGGCACAATTTATCGTCATGCTAAATTTGCCATTGTGATAGGCCTATTGGGATTTATTTAATTAGTCTGATGTGGTTTTAAAGGTTAGCATCCAAATGAGGATTAGCCTTTAGATTCACATAAAAATTAAGATTCTTATTTGCTACAAATGTCCAAAAAAAATCAGAATCAAATCAGGAGTTTGTAAATAATTCCCTCTCTTCATTAACGGAAACACGGCTTTTGTTTGATGTATTCTTCCAAATAACTTGAAAATAAAATCATTTTCTAATTTCCTGGGAAATGACTGTTGGATTCTCATCAGCTGAGAGTCAAATTTCACTTTTTAAACCGAACAACTGAAATAAATCATCTTTTCGATGAAATCCTAATAATTTTAAGGTGTTTTTTTTTGGACCTGCCTTCGTTCTCCTCCTCAGTGAGCTCCTCCGGGCCGGCCAGAGGCAGAAGCAGGAACGGCAGCACGTCCACGGCGTCGCTCAGCAGCCACGCATGATGAGCTGTTGATCACAGCAGAAGGATGTCAGAGCAGATCGGGTTCTGGTTCTGGTTCATCCTTCAGAGTTACTCCGGACGGCGTTGGGAGTTTCTCACCGTGGTCGAAGCAGCAGTTCCTCAGCGTGCCGATGACGCCGCCCCTCCTCACCACCGACGCCTCGTACTGAGTGAACGGCAGCAAACGCTGGATCACACACCTGGAGCAGAAAAGATCCGACAGTTTTAGCATCTAAAAAATAAATATCCAGATGAGAGGCAAATGTTCTCTGGTCCACAAAGAGACAGACAGACTCTATTCAGGTAGAAACTCGACTTCTAGCTCTGAAACTCACCTGTCCCGGTCCATCAAGAGGCTCCTGGCCTCGGGAAGCTGGGTCAGGTTGGACAGCAGGGGGCCCAGGTAGTGCAGCTTGGCCTTTCTGTTGAAGCTTTCATTGCAGAAGATTTCCACCAGCTGGGCCAGACCGAGCTGCTCCTGCAGGACCTGAGAGAGCAACCAGCAGAGGCTTCAACCCGACAGGTGAGGAGGAACTTCATCCACCTGACAGGTGAGAGAAGCCCGATGTCTGCCTGATGTTTCTGCAGCTGAACCCTGAGAAACGACCAGCGGGGACTGGCCTGGCGTACCTGGAAGACGGTCCTGCAGGTCTTATCATGGCGGCTCAGGTTGGACAGGATGGTGCAGATCTGATCAGAGAACAGAAACTCTGGATCCTGGAGGTTCTTCAACAGAACCGGAAGAACCTGAACCTCACAGACCAGAACCTGAGGAAACACAGAGACCAGCAGGCAGTCAGAGGTCAGAGGTCAGAGCAGGTTCAAGTCTCCCACCATTAAATATCCTGAATATTATTTAATCTTCATGGTTGAGTCTACTACTTATTTAATGTAGCAAATTAACACTAACTGTGTTTATTAGGATCCAACTCTGTCCCATAAATTAATCTGAAATATTATTATTATTAGTTAAATTAATCTCATCACTACATTATTATTAGCCAACTTCAGCTTCGTTTTGTCCTTCACCTGCTGCTCACCTGGTGCAGAGTCTCATCAGCTGACAGGTTGATCAGGATGTGGTAGCAGTCCTTCACTATGGCAACAGAGGGGTCAGAGGTCAGCGCAAACAGAGCTGCTAAGAGGTCAGGTTTAGAGCGCAGGAACCGGCAGCCATCTCTGAAAGAAACAAACAGCGCTGGCATTGATGCTCCTGAATCAATCTATGGTGACCCCTGACCCCTACAGAGGTCAGCACCCCACAAAGGTTAGCACCCCACAAAGGTTATGACAGTTAACTAAAACTAACAAAATAGAAAACTTTTTTGTTAATTAAAGTAAATAAAAATGGCAATTTAGGGGGAAAAACTATAACTAACTGGAAATATATTGTGCATTTATAAAACTATCCTGCCAGCCATTCATCATCCAATCAATGTAGACATAATCACAATCCTTTGAGCTTTTTTAATTCTGCACCAAAAATTTTACCAAGCATAAAAAAACTAAAACAATCACTAATAAAAACTAATAACTAATAAAAACAAAAATAAAAGTAAACTTTCCAGAATCTCTTTCTCTTTCTTACTGTTTATTCAATGTCACATGATGTTTTTATTTTGTTTTTTAATTATGTAAAGCTCCTTGAAAGGCCTTGCTGCTGAATTGTGCTATGCAAATAAAATCTGATTGATTGATTGATTAATGAAAAGCCCAAAGTCATTATAACCCGGGGTCCCGCCAGCTGACCCAGGCGCTCAGAGGTCAGCGTCCCACCTGCTTCCAGACAGCCCCAGGATGTACTCCGTGGCCTTCCCCTTCACATCCGGCCGGGTGCTGGGCGTCAGGAAGGCCAGCAGCTCTGCAGCCTCAGCATCACTCAGCATCTTCTCAGCAAACCGTCTGATGGACAGAGACGAAACCACAGTCAGCCCTCCATAGCTTCAAAAAATACCCACTTTAAGAGTCATTTCACTCATAAAAGTCAAACTACTTTTAGTACTTAGTAAATTACTATTAACTACTGCAACTCAGAGAGTAACTTCACTGAATGAAGAGCAAAGACATTTTAACAAAAAATGCACCTGAAAGACAGACCCACAGTTTATGTTGGAGTGAGACCTCTTGTTTCTTCACCTGCTTTGTTGCTTGGATGTTATTTTCTCAAAGCTCTAAATCAGCCTGTTGTTGAAGTTTTTCTTCTTCCCAAATCTATTTTATTATGATATTTATTAGCATGATTTATTTTCAGTTTTGTCTTTAAAAATATGAGATATCTAATTTTAAATTATTAAGTCAGATTTTTTCCTCTTCTATATAGCTTAAAGATGCAGAACAATACAACAACTCACAGTACAACAGAGAAATTTAACCAGATAAAAAAATAAGTGAAAGACAATCTATAAAAATACAAAACAATACAGTGTAAAAATACAGAAATCATTACAAGAAAACTTGGCAGGAAAACAAAGGAATTTATTGTTATATTGGTAAAAAGATTGGGGTTTTAACAAGTCCTGAAATTAATTTGTTTCACCTGCATTAAAAATGGAGGTAACTTTCTAAAAAATAGCACTTTTTAATAAAAATATAGCCAGGATTAAAATAGTTTATTACTGTAGCTTGATTTATCTGCTGTTAAAAGACCAATTCCTATTAAATCAAAACTTAAACGTGGAAATTATATCTTATGATACAGGTTTGAAAATCCTTTCGAATAAAAAAAGATTTTTACTTGATTTTTCTTGAGTGAAGCTAAGCACTCCTACTCTTACTGGAGTCGCCTGTCTGTAGAACCGCTGTGGGTAAATACAAAGGAAATAAATAAAGTATTCTGATATTCGATTCATGTTTAATTCACACACAGCTCTGTAATAGAATAATTTGTCAAAATCTGCTATAATAACCGCTTCATCAGGTGATGTTTGGTCTGAGGGAACAGCTGATTGTCACACAGTTGATCATATTTGATCACGTTTTTGTTGATAAAGCTTGAGACATGCAGATAATCTTAAATGTTTCAATAAAATTCACCTTGAACTCGCAGCAGGATTCCTCCTGTCCTCCTGCCTCGACGGTTCTTTACAGAAACTCTTCCAGAATTAAATATCATGTAGAAGAAACCGCATGTGGACGAGGCAGCATGAAACAACGCGTCACTTCCGGGATCGTCTTCTTCTGGCGTTATATGACGAATGGCAGACTAACTATGAGCTGCATGCTGCCACCATCTGGACTGGAGGATGAACAAGAAATTGGCAGGAAAACAATAATAAACTCACTAGATTATTTCGGATTAAAAAAAAAAAAAAGACATGATTTGAGTCTCTCCCGTGTTCCCTCTGCTGTTTTTATTAGATTATCAATTAGACCTCTACCGTCATCTCGTGTTCACACTGTGAGTCCTGCGACTTCTAGGCACATTTTGATCTAATTTTCAGAAAATAAATCTAACTTTTTATGTAAAAAGTTAAAGATTTACCACAGCAAACACCAGACTGTGTGTGATGGTTCCTAAATCTGCCATTTTTCAGCCTCCGATTGAAAACTGTTTCTCTGAACAAATCCACCTTAAAAGGGGACCAATGATGCTTCCCATTACACAAATTAGGATAGGTCTATCAGCTGTGCAAAACATGTTTGTTATGTTTTGCTGCACAGAATCATTCTCAGCTCAGTTATGTCCGTTTTTAGTTCCTTTCAGATTGAGCTGTTTTAGGATTTCCGTCACTTTTATGCAAATAAGCTGCTGCTGACCACGCCCCCAAATCATTGTTTACTACTGCACGTGAAAATGACTGCACACCAGGGCTGGATGTTGAATGAAAAACTTACCAGAAAATAAGCATTTCATACCAGTCTTTATCAATAATTAGTGATTTTTATTACTGGTGGCGTGATCTTTCCTATTTCATCCACAATTTTCACTCCATGTTTTTTTAAGCAGATACAAGGCACACTGGCAAAATCTCAAATTGCTGCTGTGCAAGATACTAAAAATCCTGTTGCTAGGAAACCAAAGAGTGAGTTAGTTGCTAGGGAGCCGTAGAGTGAATGAGTTAGTGGATGCCACCAACTTTGCTTGGCTTACCTTGACAGGTTGAGCAGCTAAAGTCTTTCCTCTGCCTACATCTCCCAGAATGCTGTGTGGTTCTGGGTTGAAGTTCAGTGAATATGCTGTCAGATGCATGATCCATTTATATTGATCATGTGTCTACCACAATATATTTTGTTATTGATTGTCCAGCCCCATTGCAAACAGACATGCAATAGTACAATGGTCCATCTTTGACCCAGAAGTGGAGAGTCCTGACCCATCAGCAAGGCAGCAGCAGCGCTTTCTGAACCGAGTCAATAACCAAACACTGCTCTTCTCCAGCAGCCATTGAACATCACATAAAACAAACTGACAAGCTCCACTTGAGTTGCTAGGTAACAAGGCACCGTCCTTGTGACTTGATAATCGGGAGGTTTTTGAAACTGCTTGTTTTCCAGACACCAGAAAACATAAACTTACTTCCATAAAAAAGTTGGACATTGTTGCTTTAGCGCTTGGACTGCTACCAGAAAATGGAAGGACAAAAAGATGCAAAAAGTAAATTTTGGATATTAGGTAGAAACTGAGAAAAAGTCCTGTTTATTTTTAACCTTCTAAACTATTTTATTGATATACTGAAAAAAAAATACATAAACATCTTTCATATCCTCGACAACATCTGCATTGAAATGCTAATGATTGATTCCTGCAGCAGAGTAAACATCTGATTAAAGGAACAGTTCACCTTTTCTGAGTAACGTCAGCCTCTTTACAACAAGTTTCACCATAAAGAGGCTGCAGAGAGTCGTCACTCTTCAGATATTTCAGAGATGTTCCTGCATGCAGAGCGAAGGAGGGGCTCCTCAGAAGAAACAGTCTGACCCCTCAACACACACTTAACTGACAGACAGGTTGCAATAATACTTCAAAACAGACAGAAAGCACAAAAATCAGCATCTGAAGACAGAAAGGTTTCAGCAGACGTCTGTGGTTGGAGAGCAGAAAGAGGGCGTGGCCTCAGACTGGTCCGTAAACTGGTAGAGGGGTTTATCAGGGTGTCGTCACCAACATGGGGCAGAACACATTTAGGTCGGTGAAGTAGAGCTGCACAGTCTTTATTTTACAGTCTGGAGTTGTTGTGATGAGGCGTTCAGGGGAAGGCACGGTGGCATCTGATTGGTCGAGATCAGCCTTTCTCGGTTGGCTCAGGCATGGCAATCCGTCAGTCATCATCATCATCACCGCCTCCTCACTCTGCCTTGTCCTTCCTCTTGGCGGTGAACGGCACTTTGTTGGCTACTGTAGAGCCCACGCTAGAGACGCCGCCGGCCACGGCGGAGACGCCGCCCTTCACCAGCCCCACCCCCATCGACGGCACTGTGGTCACCGCCGACTTGGTGATCTCCAGGCTCTTCCCACCCACCCAGGCGACTCCGCCCACCGCGGCACCGACTACGCCCTTGGTGACGTTGAAGAGGCCGCCGGTGACCCGCCACACCATGCCGGGCGGAGCGACGGCGTGATCTTTACCGGGGTCTGGAATGCAGATCAAACAGAGTTTGGATTTATTGCAACTTTCATATCAATCTGAAGGAAGAACTTTAAATTCTACTTGATTATAATACATAGTTGCCATAAGTTTGAACCGGAAGTGATCCATGCCATCTCGGTAAGCATCAAAGCACTGATGAACCATGGGTTAGAGACCAACAAAAGGAAAATATATGGCCACTCTTGACCAATGTGCAAGAGAAAGATAAATGAACAAAATGGCTGCTGTCGGGATGGACCCATATGAAGACAAAGAAGGAAAATATGCCAGATGATGTGGACAAGCTGCCTCCGATCTCATTCTATGACATAGTTTGCTACTTGGTGAACAGATAGTCCACCATCTGGAGGAATTTTGCAGCTTGAAATCCATGGACACATACAATCAATGTTTGAACGGATTTGTAAAGGACGTACAAACTCTTCGTGTGAATAAGTTCTGGTGACTGGCAGAATACGTACATGCAGCAACATCCACATAGGCTACATGTCCGTCACATGCTAGTTCACCAATAAGTATTGCAGTAAGTATCACTGATATTCATCTTAATTTTATACAAAGGTGGGTGGAGTTCTCAAAACTTGTGACTGAGCAGTAGTTGTAATGTCCTTATATTGATTATAAGTTAGATAGAAAAAAGGCGAGAGCAAGTTCTAAGCTGGTTCTTGTTTATTGTTGTTGTAGCAACTCCACAGCAACTGCCTATCAAAGTTCCTGGAAGTATGATGTCATATGACAACTATGTTCAAACATCTCAGACTTGATTTGATTGCGTCATGGAGAAGCACTAGAGTCATTTCAAGTCACTTTGGAGATCCTCAGGAGGCTAGGTCGCCATGTTTGACCAAAAGGGGTCTGAACTGGTGCACAGGGTGCTGCGACACAGACAGCTGCAGCTGGACACAGACACTGATCCTGCTGACAAAACAACTGGTTCTGGAGTAGCAGCAGCAACATCCGAGCCTATATTGCACCAGTGATCTGATGTACCAGCGATTAGACACATCCCTCGGCTCGGCGCTTACCCTCTGGGGACTGGCTGTCGGCGGGCTCAGCTTCGTCCGAGGCCAGGCTGGTCCCGGGCTGCGGCTCCACGTTCACGCTGTTCACGTCCTGGGGAAAAACCCTGAAGAGTCACCAGGAATTACAACAAGATGGAGTCTAAGTACTAATTATACCAGCTGGGAACATTAAAACTACGTACTCCACTCCTGGTTTTTATTATAAAGACTAAAACACATAAATTTAAACAAGGAACTTGAGCTGCTGGATGGACGGACAAAGATAAAAATAAAGTTGTCAATGCTGTTTAGGAATACTTTATTAAAAGAAAAACATTTGAGGATTAAAAAAAGGCTTAAAATAACTTTGGTGTTGTTTTAATATGATCCGGTTTACCAGATGTGCTTGAATGCAGGATAAAAGGAGCTGTAGGGAAATTCAGAGGAATTCAGAAATCCCACCGAATTTCTTAATTCAGAGGGATTTATCAGAACAGAACCAGTGTGCAGTAGCATCTAGTGCTGAAACAATTAATTGATTATTTTAAATAATTTTTGAATAATTTAGTAACTGATTAATCGTTTTAGACTACAGACTCTTTCATTTGCTGACGGAACAACACACTCAGCATAGTAATAAAACAAAAACTGTAAAATAGAACAAATATTTTGCATTTAAAGATTAAAAACCTTCTTTGCCTGTAAATCTGTTCTAACCAGAACTTCTCTATTGGCAGTTTTAACATCATATTTTGTAAAAGTCTCTTATTAATCACATTTTTCTATTCAATTATTAATCAATAAATAATCACATGTTGATGTCAGAAGAATTGTTTAGCTGCAGATACATCTTCAGCTATAAATGGAAAAAAGGTTCACTGAAGGAATGCTGAAAATGTTTTATTTAAACAAGGAATTGAATTGTTTGCATTTTTTAATATGTTTATAATACTGTAAAAAATAAGCTTAAGTGATTAAATGAAAAATCTGAATATTTTAATCTGATTAATAATTAATTACTTCAATCATTGCCACTGCAGCTCCAGTAGGATCTGATCAGCTGTGCAGCGTTTTGGACCGATTGAACACTGGATTTGGACTTCAGCTGATTTTGCTCCAGAACCAGAGATGTTTACATTGTTTTGGATCATTCAGTTCAGAGCAGAGCAGCTTTGGACCTTATGCTGTAACAGAGTTCTGGTTCGGTCCATCTTCCTGTCCGCAGCTTAGGCACAGCTGGGACACTTCTCTGGCTGTGTCTGGTGTCACTTTCGAAAGTTTCCCTACAGAATGTTGCAGTGAACACTTTGGTTCCTCATGTAAACATTCTGCATGAGTTCAGGAGGTAAACGGAGCTGAGTCGTCTGGTACCGAACCAAGTGGACTGGATATGTTCAGTGTGATTATCAGTAGATAATCTGATCCAGAACCGCACAGCATTCTGGGAGATGTAGGCAGAGGACAGGCTTTAGCTTCTCAACCTCTGAAGGCTATCTAAGCTGTGTTGGCAGGCCTGTCACGATAACAAATGTTACTGGACGATACATTGCTCCAGAAGTTATTGTGATAAACAATAATATTGTTGTTTACAGACCATTTTCACGTGATATAATGATGACGGCACAA